GGTGATTTTCCATAGGACAAAATCAGGTGGTATCTGGAAAAATATAAAAGCTATCCCACTCACAAAACAGGCCACAGTGTCTATCAATCTCCAGTTCCAGACAGAAGTAGTGGCTTTAAATGACATAATGTATTGGATAAAGAGACACTGTACAGTTGTGAGTGACCCACAAAAGATTTATGATGAGATTGGGCTATGGAATGGTGGATGGAAACTGCAAGTTAAACTGTGGCAGACAGGGGGCGTTACTCATCATTTACCACACAGTTTTTTTTATTGGTACGGACAGAGGCATTTGCTATTATCCAGGACAGCCTAGAAGCTGTTATAAATGTGGGTCAACAAGGCATTTGGCCTATTGCTGTGATAAAATAAAGTGCTCTCAATGTAACTGTCTGGGCCATATGAGATCAGAATGCAAGCAGGACGTAATATGCAACTTATGTTCTGTACAAGGTCATACCTTTAGAGAGTGCCCAGAAGCACACCATAATAAGATAAACGACTGTGTGCTAGATTTGGAAAGCATACTTACTGAAGCAATGGAAGAGCCCAATACAACTGAGAAACAAGATACAAATGAGCCACAGAAAGATGACATTACTGAGCCAGAAAACATCTTAAGGAAAGACGCCAAGGAAATACAATCTCCATTAAATGTTGAAAAGGGTCCAATATTAGAAAAAAACAGTGAGGAATTTCAGTTGGTGCAAGGAAAACACAAGAAGAAATTAAAATATTCAGGTACTCGTGAGTCACAAAAACCTCCTCAGATGCTTTCGTCATTTGAGATAACTGCTGGTCGCTATGCTATCCTGGATGAACCTAGTGAAGATGCCATGGAGTTTAAACAGAGTGAAGGATCTCTCTGGAAAAGGCGATCCACAGAGGAATTGCAGTTGTTCTGTGAAGAAGAAGCAACTGCCTCTGTTTCAATAAAACGATGGGGATCTCAAGGTGACAATATAGGAGCAGTAAAGAAGAAGCGCTGAGTCTCCTTGGTTTTCATGACTTTACATATATGCTCGCTTAATGTCAACAGTTTGAGATCAAAAGAGAGAAGAGACTTACTCTATACTGTTCTGAAAGAACAATCATTTGATGTGTGTTTATTACAGGAGACAAGATTAAGAAATAATAGCCAGGTTTTTTGTGCTAAAAGAGAGTGGACAATGGGCCCATCTTATTGGTCATTTGGACTGGAAAGTTATGATGGTGTGGGTATTTTGTTTAAGAACTGTGATTTTCAAATCGATCGGATTGTGGAAATTGTTGCAGGTAGATGCCTTTTGTTAGATTTTACGCTTAATGATGTGAGATATCGAATAATTAATATATATGCTCCTCAGATAATAGCAGGTAGGAAAAAAGTGTTTTTAAGTGTAAAACCATATTGTTTCACATCCAAAGTGTTAATTATGGGAGGTGATTTTAACGGTGTGGTAAATAATGAAGATCGAAATAGTAATTATAAAAATTTAAAATATGATGAAAACTTTCTAAAAACTCTGATCAGTCAAGCTGGTCTGATTGATACTTTTAAATATAATTATCCTACACAGCGAGGGTTTACATATCATAAAGGGAGGTGGGCAAGTCGTATAGATAGACTCTATGTAAAAAATCAAACTTCATCTTTTAGATATAATTTAGTCTTGGTAGAGTTTTCAGATCATGATATGATTAGTCTGTCCTTAAAGGTAAAGGAAGGAATAATATATGGGAAAGGTATCTGGAAACTAAACTCAAGAATACTTGATAATGATAAAGTTAAGCAAGAATTCATTACTTTTTATGAAGATCGAAAAACCACACAGTGCTTATACGACACGATGTCGAGTTGGTGGGAACAAACAAAAAAAGATATTAAAAGTTTTTTTTAAATCAAAAGCTAGAAAAGAAGGAAATCGTCAATATATGCAATATCTTGCTCTAAGACTTAGACTTAGTAGATTATATTCCTTGGTCAATAATGGTGAGACTGTGAATTCAAATAGCATTAATCAAGTTAAGGATAAAATGAAAAAACTTCAATATGACCGTATGATCTCTCTAAAAGCTGAAAATGAATTCGATAGTTGGGGTTTCACAGCCCCAGATCCTTTTCAAGCGTGTAAGGAAAGAGTATGTAAGAAAGCCATAGCAGGACTGGTAGATCAAGATGGTGAAACACAAACAGAAAGTAAGGACATTATAAATATTGTCACAAAATATTTTAAACAATTGTTTGCAAGACAGCCTATTGCAAATGAAAATATTGTAAAATATTTGCAAGATGTTGATAATCCGGTATTAAATGCAGTGGATGCTGAGACCATGGTTAAGCCTATAACAGAGGAAGAAGTTAGAAATAGCATTCAATCATTAGTTGGGAAGAAAAGTCCAGGATTGGATGGGATAACTGCAGAGTTTTATAAAGTGTTTTTAGATCTTTTGGTAACGGATCTTGTAATGCTATATAATGAAGTGCTAACTCTGGGACAGTTGCCGCCCTCACAGTATGCCTCAGTCTTGGTACTTTTAGCTAAAAGTGGTAATTTGAATGAACTAAAGAACTGGCGTCCGTTATCATTATTGAATACTGATTACAAAATTCTTGCAAAAGTCATGTTTATGAGGCTTAGTGCGGTGGCTGAAATTTTGGTAAGTCCGTGTCAGTCGTGTGCAGTTAAGAATCGTAGCATACAGGATACACTGTTGCTAGTAAGAGAGGTGGTGGAATACGCTAAGCAGCAGAGAGAAGGTATTTATTTGGTAGGACTAGACCAGTCCAAAGCATTTGACCGAGTACATCATGAATTTTTATTTGAGACTTTACGGAGATATGGCATTCCTAATACTTTTATTAAATGGTTGAAGATATTATATAAAGAAGCAATATGTTTCCCTTTAATTAATGGTAGTTTGGGAGACCCTTTTCAGGTTGAATCTGGAGTTCGTCAGGGTTGTCCTATAAGTCCTTTGCTTTATGTTTTTAGCATTGACCCTCTATTAAGGAAAATAAAAGGAAACCATAATTTTCAAGGCCTAGAAGTGAAAGTAGAAGGTGTTTCCGAGAGAGTCAAAGTTTGTGCTTATGCAGATGATATTTCTGTTTTTTTGAAATCAGAAGCAGATAACCAATTGTTACAAAGGGAACTTAAAAGTTATTCTCAAATTTCCAACTCTATGGTTAATATGGAGAAGAGTGAAGCATTGTGGCTGGGGGATAATGCAGAAGCTTTTCAAATCCCTTTTAAAAGAAAGGATAAAACAATCAAAGTGTTGGGTATTACATAGGGATGTGTTGAAGACATTGCCCAGAGAAATTGGGATGATAAATTTAAAATATTCTCAGATAAAATACACAAATGGAAAAATTGGAAATGGTCTTACCAAAAGAAAATTCAAGCTATCAAACGATTTTTATTCCCCATTTTTATTTATACAAGTTTTGTCTTTCCATTACCTGATCAATTAGTGGTTAAGATAACCGGTTTGTTGTTCCAGCTAATATGGGGTAATCGTTTAAATATTGTTAAACGTAACATTTCCTATCTCCATAGGAAAGATGGAGGATTAGGCATGTTGTGTCCAGAACTTTTTTACAATCTCTTGTTTATAACCAAGAATTTAAGTTTTTTTAAATCTGGTAGAACAGATTTATGGGGAATCTTATATAAAAACCAAATTAATCACTTTGTTGGAGTTTGGACAAGAGGTGTAAAGATCAAAAGATTGTCTGGTAAGGTTAAACATTGCTCTCTATATGCTCAGCAATGTATAAAGTTGTTGCTGAGATGGCAAATTTCATATGAAGATATCACTGGGCTAGATAGAAAACAATTATATCATGTTCTGTTAAATAAGTAATATAGTGCCCAGTTGGTTTTAAAAGACTGCCCTAATACCTTAATGAAAAAAGCCATTCAGAATGTTACTAGCACGAGAATACCAATTAAATTGAGAGATGTTATTTGGCTTTGTTTTCAAGGAAAATTATACGTTCGCTCTAATTTGAAATTTAAAAAACTTGAGGAACGAAATTGTCCGAGGGAAGAATGTTCAGGGATATTAGAAACAATGTCTCATTTTTTGTGTGACTGTCCCTTTAGTTTAGCAATATGGTCAGAAATGTCCACACTTCTTAAAATACCAAATTTTAAAGGACAGTCCTATGCTGAATTAGTATATGGAAATTTCAATTGGGCAGATAAGATTAACAAATGCACTTTATATGTAATTAATTGTATTGTTATATATTATTTATGGCAAGCGAGGTGTTTAAAATCATCAAAACAAATTATTTTAACTACGGACTCTGTGATTAATCGGATAATTAAAGACATAAAAGATGTATATGTAAAAGAACAAAATACAGATTGTTGGGAAAATATAGACATGACATTTTGTTTTTAATTGTATTTTTGTATATGTTTTTGATACATTGAACACTGTTTTGTAATTTGTTGTAAGAAAATTTAATAAAAATATTTCCTCCTATTACTCCATATAACCTCTCCAATAACTCCTCCTATTACTCCATGTAACCTCTCGCTATGACTCCTCCTATTACTCCATATAACCTCTCCCTATAACCCCTCCTATTACTCCATATAACCTCTCTCTATAACTCCTCCTATTACTCCATATAACCTCTCTCTAAAACCCTTCCTATTACTCCATATAACCTCTCCCTATAAACCCTCCTATTACTCCATATAACCTCTCCCTCTAACCCCTCCTATTATTCCATATAACCTCACTCTATAATTCCTCCTATTACTCCATATAACCTCTCTATAACTCCTCCTATTACTCCATATAACCTCTCCCTATAACCCCTCCTATTACTCTATATAACCTCTCTATAACTCCTCCTATTACTCCATATAACCTCTCTCTATAACCCCTCCTATTACTTCATATTACCTCTCCCTATAACTCCTCCTATTACACCATAAAATCTCTCCCATATATTTCTGTTAATGCACTGTTAACAATGAAAAACCACAGTCAAAGTTGTAAAATGTTTTTCTTTATTATTATATTATTATTGTTGTTTCTGCAGAGAACAATTGTACAAAAATAAGTGAAAGATGGGCCAAAGATGAGCTCTTTATGCAACCTTGCAGCAGCGGGCTTTGGTGAATGGCACATTATTACAGGAGCAGCTACATTTGATGTCATTCTCAAAGTCAAAGTCTTGACATCCATTCCCACAAATGCAGAATGTCGAGATATATCCTATATAAAAAGGAGAATGCATTAAAGAAAAATTAAAGCTTTGCAATCTGTATATTTTATGTTAATTCAACTTTAATATATGTTACTTAACAGCTTATACACAGATCCCACCAATGCCTTGCTTTTGATCTGACGATGCAGTGCTGGGAGTGGAAGCAGCGCAACGACGATGAGGAGCATGATGAGAGTTTATACATTTAGTTACTGTAAAGAAATGAAGACTTGGGGCCGAGTCTAATAGAATGGGGATCCATAATGAGGTCTTCAAGAGTTTTCATGAGGAGACTGGCAGACCATAAAGTGCAGAGCTGGCAACAGGTGCGTAACATGGGGTTGGCCAAACCAGCAGCCGCCGGGAGCGCAGGCTAAGGGAGGGGCGCAAAAATCAGGTGTCAAGTGTGATCAGTCATTTTTGCGCCCCCTGTGCCCCCAGCTCCATAAGGGAACCGCACGCACAGTACACACTAAGAGGGGGAGCACCGTTCCCTCCCACTCTGCGTAGGAGCCCCGGGTGTCACATGACTACCCAGCGCTCAGTGTGACAGCGCACTGCCAGCGAGAGGCAGTGCCGGCACTACCTACACCTAGGCCACTGGCTCTGTGAGGGAAGCAGCTGAATGCTGCTTGGGAAGGAGAGAGGTGGAGACATGGATGGGAGTGGGACATGGGGGCAGAGTGTCATGGAGGCCAGGGGCGCATGATGGGAAAGAGACATGGATGGTAGGGGGACATGAACGATTGGGGGACATGCGAGGAGAGAGACATGGATATGAGGGGGACGTGGCTGAGAGAGACATGAATAAGTTGGGGTCATGGGGGGAGTGAGATGAATGAATGGGGAACATGGGGGGAGAGAGACATGAATGAGTGGGGGACATGGGGGAGGGAGACATGAATAGGAGGGGGATATGGGGGATAGAGACATGGTTGGGTCGGGGGCATGAGGGGGAGAGAGACATGGATAGGTGAGGGACATGAGGGGGAGAGAGTCATGGATGGTAGGGGGACATGAGGTGGAGAGTGACATGAATAAGTTGGGTGCATGGGGAAATATACATGGATGGAAGGGGGACATGGGGGGAGAGAGAGACATGGATGGGTGGGGGACACGAGGGGGAGAGAGACATGGATTGTAGGGGGACTTGAGAGGGACAGTGACATGAATGAGTGAGGGACATGGGGGTAGAGAGACATGGATGGGAGGGGGACATTGGGGGGGAGAGAGACATGGATGGTTCATTGATTGCAGGATAAAACTTACCAGGAAAGGTTAAAGGATCTTAACATGTATAGCTTGGAGGAAAGTCGAGACAGGGGGGATATGATAGAAACATTTAAATATATAAAGGGAATCAACACAGTAAAGGAGGAGACTATATTTAAAAGAAGAAAAACTACCACAACAAGAGCACATAGTCTTAAATTAGAGGGACAAAGGTTTAAAAATAATATCAGGAAGTGTTACTTTACTGAGAGGGTAGTGGATGCATGGAATAGCCTTCCAGCTGAAGTGGTAGAGGTTAACACAGTAAAGGAGTTTAAGCATGCGTGGGATAGGCATAAGGCTATCCTAACTATAAGATAAGGCTAGGGACTAATGAAAGTATTTAGAAAAATGGGCAGACTAGATGGGCCGAATGGTTCTTATCTGCCGTCACATTCTATGGATGGGTGTGGGACATAAGGTGGAGAGAGACATGGATGGTAAGGGGAGGGAGACATGGATGAGTTGGGGACATGGGGGAGAGTGACATGGATGGGAGGGGGAGAGTGACATGGATGGGTGGGGGATATGGAGGGAGAGATGAATGAGAGGGGGAAATGGGGAGAGAAACATGGAGGGGTGGGGGACAAGAGGTGGAGAGAGACATGGATGGTAAGGGGAGAGTGACATGGATGAGTTGGGGACATGGGGGGAGAGTGACATGGATGGGTGGGGGACATGGATAGGAGGGAAGTGACATAGGGGAGAGTCACATGAATGTGTACAGGACAGGGGGAGAGAGACAAGGGGGAGAGAGACATGAATGAGTGTGGGACATAGGGGGAGGGAGACGTAAATGAGTGGGGGACATAGGGGGAGGGAGACATGAATGGGAGGGGGACATGGGGGGAAAGAGACATGGATGGGTCGGGGACATGGGGGGAGAGAGACATGGATGGGTGTGGGACATGAAGGGGAGAGAAACATGGATGGGTGAGGGACATGAGGTGGAGAGAGACATGGATGGTAATGGGAGAGTGACATGGATGAGTTGGGGACATGGGGGAGAGTGACATGGATGTGAGAGGGACATGGGGGGAGTGAGACATAAATGAGAGGGGGACATGGGGGGAGAGAAACATGGATGGGTGGGGGACATGAGGTGGAGACAGACATGGATGGTAAGGGGAGAGTGACATGAATGAGTTGGGGACATGGGGGGAGAGTGGCATGGATGGGAGAGGGAGAGTGACATGGATGGGTGGGGGACATAGATAGAAGGGAAGAGATATGGGGGAGAGAGACATGGGGAGAGAGACATGAATGAGTGGGGGACATGGGGGGAGGGAGACATGAATGGGAGGGGGACATGGGGGGATAGAGACATGGATGAGTGGAGGACATGAGGGGGAGAGAGACATGGATTGTAGGGGGATATGAGAGAGACAGTGACATGAATGAATGAGGGACATGGGGGGAGAGAGACATGAATGGGAGGGGGACATAGGGGGAGAGAGACATGGATGGGTGTGGGGCATGAGGGGGAGAGAAACATGGATGGGTGGGGGACATGAGGTGGAGACAGACATGGATGGTAAGGGGAGTGTGACATGGATGAGTTAGGGACATGGAGAGAGGGTGACATGGATGGGTGGGGATATGGATAGGAGGGAAGAGACATGGGTAGAGTCACATGAATGTGTACAGGACAGGGGGAGAGAGACATGAATGGGAGGGGGACATGAGAGGGAGAGAGACATGGATGAGAGGAGGACATGGGAAGGAGAGATACATGGATGGGTGAAGGACATGGAAAGGATAGAGACATGGAGTAGGACATTGGGGAGAGATATGGATGGTAGGGAGATATGGGTGAAATGGGGGGTACATGGATGAAAGAAAGGAGAGACATGGAAGAGGAACAGAGAGATGGAAGTGGGGGAGAGACATGGATAAGGGAGGAGGGAGATATGGATAAGGGGGAGGGAGATATTAATGGAAGAGGAACAGAGAGATGGAAGTGGGGGAGAGACATGGATAAAGGGTGGAACGATATATGGATGAAAGGGAGGACAGATACGGTAGACGGAAGAAGATATTAATGGAAGGGAAACAGAGTCATGAAATGGAGGGGAACAGAGAGATGGAAGGGAGAGGGAGATATGGATGGAAGGGGAACAGAGAGATGGAAGTGGGGGAGAGACATGGATGAAGGGTGGAGCAAGATATGGATGAGGGGGGAGGAAAATATTAATGGAAGGGGTACAGAGTCATGAAAGGGAGGGGAACAGAGAGATGGAAGGGAGAGGGAGATATGGATGGAAGGGGAACAGAGAGATGGAAGTGGGGGAGAGACATGGATGAAGGGTGGAGCAAGATATGGATGAGGGGGGAGGAAAATATTAATGGAAGGGGTACAGAGTCATGAAAGTGAGGTGAACAGAGAGATGGAAGGGGGAGACAGATATGGACGAAAGGGGATCAGAGAGATGGAAGGGGGAGAGACATGGATGGAAATGGAAAAGAGACATGGATGGAAGTGAAGCGAGTGAAGCGGAGACACCTTACCTACCTGGCTGAGACTGCTGTTTGCAGAGGGACTGAGGGAGTGTGCTGACACTTTAGATAGGGGCATTTCTACAGAGGCAGTAAGTAACGAAGTGAAGCTTTTGAGTAAATGATATGTATGTACCCAGGATTACATATTGTGTGCATGAGAATGAAACAAGTAATTTTAATTTGTTTTGATCTAGGATTCTCCAACTTTTATACAGGTCACAGGTAGCACAGATAACCAGTTACATTATTCTATCTACTCATCAGGTTATTACTAAGATAAACACAGCAGCACCGTAAACAGCCAGCCCAAAACCATCACAAACACACGCAGTCCCCATCACACATTGACAGCACAAAATCATCACACACATTCTCATCAAAGAGAGCCAACCCAGTGCTAACACACAGTTTCCATCAAATGTACACAGGCCAATAGCATCACACACAAACTATTCATATCACACACAGACACCCCAATACATAACATGCAGTTCCCACAATACTTAGACAGCCTGAGTTCATCTGTCACAACTAAGCTATTTGTTAGTTATAAAAAAAAAAGACTCCAGTAAAGACTCCAGTTTGTAATATGGTTTAGGGCCGAAGTGCCCTGGGGCCGCTGTGTGATGCAGCCTTTAAGAATTCAGCCGTGGCTGGATGCAGATGCGTCACCAAGAGTGTGAGAGAGCACTCTCTCGGCCAATGTGATGTTGTCTTTGTTGCCACTGGAAATCTCATCCGGCATCTTTTTCCTCCTGCATGGTGCATGCCAGAGGCTGTTTGAAATCCTGGAGCAAGTCCTGTGAGTGCAATCTAAATGCCGGGGTAAGTCATGAGTGCTAGGGCAAGTCCTGTGAGTGCAATCTCCATGCTTGGGCCAGTCCTGATTGCTGTAGCAAGTCCTGGGAGTGCAATCTGTATGCTTGGGTAAGTCAATATATGCCCCAGTATATACACATGGTTATGTCTCACACACTGCCCTGATATAGACCCTTGCACAGGGCAATTCAAATAACCTTGTATACATAGTGGGGCCTATACCATGCCCTATGCATGGGGTATATATCAGGGCAATGTGCAAGGTATAACCTTGTGTAAATACTGGTGATATATATTGCCCTGAGCAGGGGTATATATCAATCGTATCTATAAATAATAATACACTCTTCAAATGTGCTTTAAAATGCATGGTTACCATTTTGTGAACAAGAATTTAATGTTATAAGATTGGGCTGGTATAATAATGATATGGGGCTTCATTTATTTCCAGGGCTGGTTTTTATCCCCAGTCCGGCAGTGGTGTATTTTGGATTGGTGCTGCCCTAGGCATGACAGATCTCGGGCACCCCTAATTTAAATTTACCTGCTTCTTCTTGCCAAGGCCACACCGCCTCCTGTTAACTAACATACATTTTGACTGACACACACACTCATGTGATTCAATGCACGTGAGAAGTGAAGGAGATTAAGATATACAGTAATTTTAAAGTGGCTTTCAAAATTATCTTACCTCTTGGACATTGGGCACTGTTCTTACTTCCAGTAACAGTTATGCAACTTAAATCTCCCTTTTTGTCAGGCCCAGGCCCAGGCCCAGGCCCAGGCTCAGGCTTTGGTTTAGGATTATAACCCCCTGATGATCCTCCTCCTGAGTGCCCACCTCCCCCTCCGGAATTATACCCCCCTGATGATCCCCCTCCTCCAGAGTTAGAATTCCCCCATAATCCAGGAATAGAGTCCCACCAGTACTGAGCACCTGCAGAAAGTGAAAAGAAGAGAAAGAAATAGCTTAGTATGACACTTTTCCAATAAATCTCCATAATCATTAAATACATTGAAAATGTGTGTGGCCAAGCAGTTTATACAATTAATGTTTTCTTTATATATTGCTTTTACTTCAGGGGACCTATATGGTAAAATACTCCTACTTCTGCTGCTGTTTTTATGTTTAAACTATAAGAAAGAAGATTTAGGTAAACTTGAAAAAAAACATTTACCTGATTTGTTTCAGCCTAAGGAGTAAGGCAAATGTCTCATTCAAAGCCAAATCTTTTTAATGAGACATTTGTCTCAAAGTGATACATGTCCCTTTACAAACTACAGAACTTTCCAAGTTAAAGACCATCAATAGTGGTCTACTGTAGGGTAGCAAGGATTTTCCTATTCCCTTGCAAGCTATACTACATGAGTGATGAAACAATCCTTAATTCTTTGTTATGTTAATCAATGAAGGAATGGAGTAATAGAAATAACATCTTTACATGCAAGAGCACATTAGAGACAAAATCAATAGTCCCTTTGAAGCTGCAACTAGTGTAACTGTTCTCCGACTAGTAGACTGATAGTGCTCACAGTAAAAGGAACCCAATGTCATATCCCATCACCCATAGTCACAAGGTCGCAAATGGAACCGTACAAGGGAGCTGGGAAGTAAGATGGATTCATAGATCTCCTATTTGCTCACATTGATTAAAGAGAGTAATTGAAGAATTCAACCAGGGTAGCGGAAGAGCCTATGCCTATGTACTTTTTGTTGTTTTCTTTTTTTTTTTTTAACAAATGTTTATTTTATAAAGAATTTCAAATATCTCATACATAGGTAGACTAACAGAGACATCATGTATAGATAGTTAACTTGCAATAAGTAGAAGTTATCAATAACACATCAAAAAACATTTAAGTATCTGATAACGATAAGGTAGCCTTTCATGGAGAAAGACTTAAGTACATATCAAATACTAAATGTTTTGCAAACCATGTTTCTTTTGCAATCGGGTATTGAGGGAATCACCCTGAAATATTAGTCATGTGTGGCAACATTTGCTGTCTAGAAACCACATTCTTGTTATCTGCCCATCATGGCCATCCTAAAACAGATATTGTCCTCCACCCCAAGCCCTCTAAGATATAATTGTCCTAATATGCCTTCAATTTAATATTGTTGGATAAGCTTTGCAAAGTATTTATTTTATTTTATAAACTTTTAAAATTCTTTTTAAAAATATAAAAAGATGTAAAAAAACATATATATCAATATATCACAAAACATCAAAATATAAAAAAAGAATTTAAATATTTTTCATAATAACTCATTTTTAAAGTTGATTCAAAAATATTAAATCATTTCAGATTTGTATCCAACAATATTATACTGAAGGCCTTTTTTGGGTGTAGGTTCTGTCAGCAATTTCAAATTTAATAAATATATAGATTCTAGTTTACCTACACACTTGCAGTCAGAGGTAGGTCTGTCTATCACAATTTACCACTTACTTAGGTATGTATGATTGCCTTACATCTTTGCTTTAACGTACTTAAAGTGTGACATGGTACACAAAAATATCATTATTTTAAAGAGCATTAAATGTTATCTATACCTTGTACTAGCCAATGTATACAGTCAGGTCCATAAATATTGGGACACCGACACAATTGTAATCTTTTTGGCTCTATACACCACCACAATGGATTTGAAATGAAATGAGGCACATATACAAACTGTTTTAATTCCTACACCATTCACCTGATTTGGATGTAAATACCCTCAAATTAAAGCTGAAAGTCTGCAGTTAAAGCTGAAAGTCTGCAGTCTGCACATCTTGTTCATTTCATTTCAAATCCATTGTGGTGGTGTATAGAGACAAAAAGATTAGAATTGTGTTGATGTCCCAATATTTATGGACCAGACTGTAGATCTCAATTTAAAGTTCTCTGTATCAGTATAAAACTCTCTGACAAAAGAGAGCAGGAGAACTCTCATATAGACAGGTCTTCATTCCATCACCCATATTCCCCCAGCTTGTGGAGAAATATAGGAATGGAATGACTTTTAAAAGGTGTTTGAAAAGTTGGAAGATACTTACTGGATGATGCAATCAACAAACAGCATGCAAGGAATGTTAGGGCCCTCATCTTTCTGCAACGAAAATCATATTGTGGTTTTAATGACACTACACAAATCATATTGTGGTTTTAATGACACTACACAAATCATATTGTGGTTTTAAAGAGACTACACTAAAGCACACAGCATTCATACTTTAGGCACCATGTTATTATCTAGTGACCCTTGACTTCCATTACCATTACCCCTTCAGCCGTGCTTGTTTAAACTAGCATTTTGTTTAAGAACAGATCAGAGACAATATCAGGATTATTTACTAATGTTAGAATTGCCAGTGAAAAATGCAAAGTGAATTTCAAATTGGAAGCATAGCTGACTTGGTAAATGTTTCCAATTCAGCAGAATTGGCCTGAAATTTTGAAATTTACGTTGAAATTGCTTTAAATTTCCACCAATTTTCATTTAAAAAAAAAACCTACATCCAGTCTCATTTGCTTCTGCCAGTGCACATTCATCCTGTTGTCAAAACCCCCTTTTCTAGTCCCATGCTGAATGTTGCTCGTTCCTAGGTTTATTCTCCCTTGATTGATTGTCTCCCTGTCCTCAATGCCATGCCTCTCGTCATTTAGAACCTGCATAATGCCCTTTAAATGTTATACCTTACCTTGCCTTGGAGATTCCAGGCTATCTGCTCTTGGCATTCACCCTGGTTTTATACCATCTCTGTTACTCCCAAAACAGAGCACACCCCTGGTATTTGCCTCAGGCTTTGGTGTAACACCCTATAATTTGCATGGCAGGTGTGGTGACACTTCTCCTTTCTACTGCAGCCACCCTTACTGGTTTGGGGACACCAGCCCATAAATATTCCCAACTTCCCTGTAATAAACATTTATTGCTCTAATCATTCATTTTGGAAGCTGCTGTCTGAATTAAAGGCTAAGAACTGAAGTCAGCATTTGTCATCAGAACCCTCTTTCCAAATGATTCTACCAGTCAGGGTCAGCCCAAGACATTGTGCTATCTGTGTCCAAGGATGAAATGCTGCTCCCTCCCCTTCACCCAAACTACTGCACATCCATTATGTTATGCAGTGTGTGTAGTGAATGCAGTGTCTACATAGGGTATGCAGTGTGTATTGTATGCCGTGTGTAGTGAATGCATTGTGTGTGTTTAGTGGATACAGTGTCTGTGTGTAATGAATGCAGAGTTTGGGTCTATAGTGGATGCAATATTTGTGTAGTGAATGCAGTGTCTGTGTTTTTGTAGTGGATGCAGTGTCTGTGTATTGTATGAAGTGTGTAGTGGATGCAGGCAAGATACTGCTCCCATCAAAGTGCTGCTTGGAGCCATGGCCTCACCAAGACGTATGGATGGGCCGGCCCTGCTACCAGTCAACATCCCTTAAAGGGAAACTGTAGTCACTATAAGCATTTCATCTTTTTGAATTGGTTATAGTGCCTGGAGTGCCCTGGCATTGTCCCTCCATTCAGTGTTTGTAGCGGAGATGCAATATTCCCCAGGTTATCTCCGCTTATAATCCAAGTGAGGCTCAGGAACAAGTAAATAGTAAATCCACAGGCAAGGTTTCCAGCAGGTAAAATACAGCAATATCCCAACAGCAATCCCAATAACTGGACGACACACAGTTTCAGGAGCAGAACTGAAAGCTTTAATCCACAGTCTCCTTTTAAAGCCTGCTCCCATGCAAGGGAGGGATTTACAATCATTAATACAGTAGCCAATCCTGTCCTGGTAACCTCCCACACCTCTCCTCCCCTCAGCCAGCATCATAATCCCCTTATCCAGTAGAGTAATTCCCCCCGTTTCTGGATGTACCCCTAAACGTAGGGGTACCTCTTTAAATCCTACATCCCCGGATAGCCCTGATCTGGGTGAACAACATATCCAAAAATCACCCAGATCAGACCAGGGGTTCGGGAAATGTATGGAGGGAATAAAATGACCGACCGCACTAACTGAGACAGCCAAATGAGGTTCCATGCGAATGGGCCTTGCGGTCGGTCCTGGCATAAGGGAACAAAATACACGAAAGCCTCTAGCTATAGAGGCTAGGGAGGGTTCGCCTGAATCCCCTCGTTCGGTACTTTCTATCTACCGAACGAGGGGCCGTTCGGTAGTTTGGAACCGAACGGACCGGGCTTGTGGAGGTCTCAGCGGTGTTCGCCTACTCGAGTGTCCGATTTTAGTTCCAGACACTCGACGGCAAAACACTGCTGTTCGGGAGTTTTAAAATGGCCGCCGCAACGTGTTCGTTTGTCGAATGGCGGCCACCCCCGAGAACAAAGGACGGCTACTTACTAGTCAATTACCCGTTCGCAACAATGTTGCAACGGGTAATTGAGGACACACTTCACACAGGGGAGGTCTGGTTGTTCGGTATTTTCATTCGAATAAACTAAGGGAATGAAACTACCGAACAATCAGAGGAATACAATTCTTTTAAAACACATATAACACAGCAGATCACACGAATGCAGTTATGTACAATATATTTGCAGGACAGCCCGGTGCCATCCGCTACAGTGTTGAACCATGTTCGTGCAGTATGCCACAAAATAAGAGTCCCTGGCCACCCACAGTCCGGCCCTTTCAGTATGTGTAGCTAAGGCAGAGATTACACACTTCCTTGTTGTCATACACATTCATACCGTCAGTTGGAACTCTGTCAGGCTAAAAGCAGTCAGCTGACACTGTCAGCCAATCACAGCTGCCCATTGCTGCTCAGGCTAATACTTCCTTATTAGCCAAAGCAGCACAGAGGGGATGGATTGCCGGGGACTCTTGTTTAGCATTAAAACTTTAAAAACTGTTTAATGCTGATAGAAATGATGGGACCAGAGGACTCCAGACACTATAACCAGTTTAATGAGATGAAGCAGATACAGTGCCTACGGTGTCCCTTTAACAGATTGTATGTTTCACTGGCAAAAATAAGTTTCTCCTACTTGTGTGGGAATAGTATTTTTGGTTGGTTGCTTTTTTTTTTTTTTAATTAAAAAGGTGAATAACTCTTTTCACAATAAAGATTTTTGAAATGCAACCATGCATCACACGAATATTTAAAGCTGTGCATGTGGGCATATGCTATAAGATTAGAAACTAAACAGTCAGGTTAAACATATTTAAAAATAACATTAACCATTAAACTGTTTTGAATGAGAGATTATGAAGGGAGATCAAAATATATCACAAATACATAAGAAAGATGTCAGAAAGATTAAAATTATGTTGTTTTTCCCAAACTCTGTTTATTGGTGACTTTCCTGGTGGCTTTCACGTGGCAACCTTTGGTGAAGAATCCCTAGACCTTCAAGTTCTAAACCTAGAAGTTTGATGCTTACATAGTAATTGCTATCTGTATAAAGATGGGGTCAGCACTTGTACATGTACTTGGGATAAACTGATAATTTGTGGTATTTGTCATTCATCTTCCAAGTAATGTAGCAGAAATTCTTGTAAAGAGTACACTTCTGCACTGATGGTTAATCATTTTAGGGACTGAGTGTGTGGGCTGGGGAGACTGGTGTTCTGGGGCTGTTGAGCAAGTATACAAATAAAATATAATTTAATTTTACAACAAAATTAAACTAACTTATATTCCCTCCTATTTGTGGCTTACCTTGTGTACTCTGGTGGTCCAGTGGGAAAGCCACCTTGACCATGACAGCTACTTCCTGCCTGTACCAGGGATAGTATCAGAGCGTTGCCATGGTAAACCATGACAAAACTCTGAGACGGAAGCCAATGCAGGGAAGTTGGCCTACTCTGCACCCACCAGAGGTTGAATCTCTACGTCCTCTCCATTGACATCACTAGCCTTGGCTGGCTGGTGATCTTTTGTTGTGCCACCTCTCTGGCCTGGCTATGGACTATGGCCATCATGGTCCACCTGTCATAAGCCCGGTTCACCCGATGGCCAGTCCAAGACTGCCTATGGCTTACATTCTACAGCCCCCATCCCCACATACACTACAGCCCTTATCACTGCCCCATACTACAGCATCTATCCAACACTACACCCTATATAACTCACACATACACTGCAGCACATATGCGCCTATGCATACACTTAAGGTCCTAACTATTGATATATACACTTCAGCCCCTATCCTCCACACAAACTATAGACCCCATCAACCCTGACCATACAGCCTTTATCTACCCACACACCCTACATTCCCTAACCCCAACAAACAGACACTCTACAGCCCCCACACACACTCTTAGCTGCAAACAGCCCCATTCACAGACATACAACCCACTCCTCTCAAACGCACCCTCTCCCCAACATGCAACCCCACACAGAACCCCAAAAGCAGATCAATGCACAAATACAATCTCCCAAATGACCAGTGGCATCTCCAGGATTCATATTTAGGGGGAGCACATGAGGCACCCGGGACTAAAGTAGGGGGGCAGTTATAAAACATTTTATAACTATAGATATATATACAGTGAGTGAAAAAGTATTTGATCCCCTGCTGATTTCGAACGTTTTCCCACTGACAAAGAAATGATCAGTCTATTAATGGTAGGTGTATTTTAACAGTGAGAGACAGAATAACAACAACAAAATTCAGAAAAAAACCCATGTCAAAAAAGTCACAAATTGATTTGCATGTCAATGAGTGAAATAAGTATTTGACCCCTTCGACTTGGCAACAATTTACCCTTGTTGGCAATCAGAGAGGTGTGGGGATATTTATGGGATAATAATAGTAACAGTTGAGAATTGCCCACTAATTCAATTCTCAGATCCCAAAGAACGTTTATCGTGTTAAGTGAGAAGTACTTCATATAAATAATATCACAATTTTTGTTATAAAAATAGATTTTATTTATAATAACAAATTAATTAATAATAATAATAATAATATGTAACATGCGTGATAATAATCAATGAATATCCAGTATAAAATGGTATGCAATACAAAGAAATGGCTACACACGTCTCAACGGCTAAACAGCATTTTCTGTCAAGTCTTCTGATTTATGAGGTATCTTTAACACAGACTGAAAGTGAAACTTTTCACAGCGAAGGGCCATAAAACCCTGGCTAACAGTTAGAATAACCCTTTCAATGCTGGCTAGATCTCCTAGGTAATTAAGATCTATTCTTATGTAATTTTAATAAAATAACATTTAAACCAGTTCATTAGTCATTTCCTGGAACCATCCAATAAGAGAATCTACCATATTATATAAGCAGAATTTAATTTGTCTAAAAGATATCTTATCTTAATTTAGAGCAAATCAATACACCTGGATAAAAACAGCGGTATGCTAACACGTGATAATATCACCTTAATATATAATTATTCTTAATTCCACCTGCAGAATGGAATGTTTATAACTATATATTCTTTAGTTAACTAAGATTTCTTAATATGGAAATCTGACCGTGCTTTATCCAGTCATATATAATGTTATTAATACATTTTAATTAATTAAATTAATTAAATGAAACCAGTATAATTACCAGTTGAGTAGATATTTCATCCGATTGGTAGATAGTCTCAGGAACTTATTTGGATGTCTCTCTGCATGGAGTTATGGTGAAAGGTGGTGTTAGTTAGAAAGTCAGTGAAATTCTAAGTGTTAGAGTTTTAAGAGTAGAGTGTTAGTCTCAGATGTTGTCCTGGGTTTCTCTGCATGTCCAAGTTGGAGTCCCAAACTTCCAATTCCTCTCTCCTCTTTTTCTTTCGCCTTTGCCTTTCTTGCATTCCTCTATCTTCCCTTTGTCCTAACTTTTAAAGGGCCAGACTCTCTGTACGTCATCAGTTGATAACCCAATAGAAGCACTAGAGGTGTGGTTATCTTTCAGATTGCAATTTAGGTATTTGGTCTATAGAGGGCAGTCTTGTCCCACTAAACATACCTATCCAGGAAAGAGTTAACTTTTCCTGGTGGCTATTTTGACGTCATTTTGTGTTATCTTTATAGTGCCATAACTTAAAATTTCAAAGGGTTTCTTTAAGTTTTGTCCAGACTTAGTGTCTGCAAATCTGAGTTTTGACCCGTAACTTACAATGGGACCTTATAGATATAGACAGTAAAATTAAATTATTTAATCTTCTCTGTCACAAATGCCTGGGTTTAGAATTGATCTATTCCATTAGCATTAGACAGTCTGTCCAACCCCCTTTCTGCTTATCATTTGGTTTGTTTATAATATGCATTCCTTTAGCTCTGGCAAAAATGGTTAGTTTTACAGATAGAAATCTTGTGTCTTTTTGTTAACTTGGAAATAACAAAATGGAGTCTGCTCTGTTCAGAGTGACTCAGAATATACACTTTTAATTTCTATCATAGCACAAGATGTCTGCCGATATAAATACCCTGACAGAGGTCAGACGTTTCTTGTAGTTGGCCACCAGGTTTGCAAACATATCAGGAGGGATTTTGTCCCACTCCTCGTTGTAGATCCTCTCCAAGTCATTAAGGTTTCGAGGCTGACATTTGGCAACTCGAACCTTCAGCTCCCTCCACAGATTTTCTATGGGATTAAGGCTAGGCCACTCCAGGACCTTAATGTGCTTCTTCTTGAGCCCCTGCTTTGTTGCCTTGGCTGTGTGTTTTGGGTCATTGTCATGCTGCAATACTGATCCAGCATGCAGAACTGTATCACACCTAGGACTAAAGGTAACATCTTACCGGGCTTTAGCATGGCCAGACTTAACGTATCCGAGAATAGTCAGAATACTTACCAAGGTCGGAGACACAAAATGAGACACAACGATGAGGGAAAGCCAAAAGTCAAGGATACCAGAATACAGGGAAGTCAAAACAAAGCCAAAGTCAATAACCAGAAATAAATGCTCAGGAACACACTCTCGGACAACCACTAAGGGAAACCATGACAGTGCAATAAAAAAGGCAAGAAAGGAGCTTAAATAACGCTGACCGCAGAACGTGCCTGTCCTTTGCGTGACGTCACACGCAAGTTGACGTCGTCAGTACCATGGGTGGACGTGGGGTTGTAAATTGGTAAATGTCCGCAGCAGCCAGCATCTTTCAATATGCCGCAGGAGTCAGACACACCGTCACATGGCTGCCGACCAGCAACTCCACCAATGCCCAACAAGTAGTTATCCCCAGAGACACCACAAAGTGAGGATGAACATGTGACATTACGCCCCACCTGAAGACCACCCACCGGGCGGGCAGGACCAGGTTTGAGGGGAAACTTGGCGTGGAAATAATGAATCTTGCGACCAGAATGAATATTGGAAGCCAGAACCCAAGAACCTTCGGCAGGCCCATACCCCCTCCAATCAACCAAATACCACAAGGAACCGCAAGAATACCTGGAATCGATTATGGAAGAGACTTCATACTCTTCCTGTCTAGAAACAACCAACACAGGAGGGGGAACACTTGGGACAGTATATCTATTACAAATGAGCGGTTTGAGCAAAGAAACATGAAAGGTATTAGGAATATGTAAGGAGGCAGGGAGAACCAGAGAATATGAGCAGGATTAATTCTGATCAAACTTCAATGTAGAACAGCCTCTAGTTTATGAGGATCCATCTGAAAACCAGAGGCAGAAATGTTATACCCCAAAAACTGTACCTCAGTCTGGTCAAAGATGTTTTCTTGGGGACTATGGTCCCAGCTGCTTTGAAATCATTAAAGTACCACTATAGTGCCACAGGGCTGCCATCAGAAATTTTGGGGCCCCTGACACAGCGCAAGGTCTGGGCCCCCCGGTGCCTGCACCCGAGTCCGCCCACAGGGATGCAGTGTCTGCAGGGTCGGTGCAAGGATTTTTGCCGCCCTAGGCAAAAGTAAAGTTTGCCACCCCCCATGTGACATCACAATGCCCCACCCATATGATCTGCCATGTTAACTAACACAGTGCTGCAGTGCCACCGTGTTTACAATAAAAGGCCTGCAGGGACAGGCTATAGACACCAGAACCACTACATTAAGCTGCAGTGGTTCTGGGGACTATAGTGTCCCTTTAATGTGAGGTAAATTAGAGATTAGTGCCACGAATAATATACTAGATTGCCTACTTACAACCAGATGAGGATGATGATGGCTCTAGCTGCAGTCTGGCTCCACTGGTCTGGTGTAGAACAGGCTCTCTGGAGGCGGTTTGTAACTGTGGTCACAAAAATCAATGTTCTGGGAGAACGGGAAGCAGCTCCATTTTTTTGAGGGCCCTTTACACAGCTCAAGGTCTGGGTCCCAGGGTCCACCTTCATGTTCCACCAATGAGTTTGTTCACAGGGGTGTGTGTGTGTGTGTGTGTTGTCAGAGTATTTATATCGGCAGACATCTTGTGCTATGATAGAAACTAAAAGTGTACATTCTGAGTCACTCTGAACAGACCAGACTCCATTTTGTTATTTCAAATTAACAAAGAAGACACTAGATTTCTTTCTGTAAGACTGGCCTCTTTGCCAGAGCTAAGGAATGCATAGTATAAACAAGTGATAAGAAGAATATAATCAAATCTAAACCCAGACAATTGGGACAGAGAAGATTAAATAATTTAATATTTAACTGTCTATATATATAAGGTACCATTGTATGGAAAAGGGTAAACTTAGTTCATGATCTGCCATATCAGAAATTATAGCAGATTTACCAGACACATAGTCTGGACAAAATTTAAGAAACCCTTTGATCTTTGAAGGATATGTAAGTTATA